GCAGCTGAGGTTGTCTCCCTTAGAAGGAAAAAAAACTGTGACATGAAACTATTTGGTATTTTTTTGCATATGGATTTAACTGGTTCAACCGAGTGCATTATGTGTCAGATTTTTTTTGAAAAGTGATATGTGTAACTTCGTAAAATGCACCACGGTTTTAGAATATGTTTTTAGTTGTGGTCTGGAACTGTGTAATAAAAACTTGTGGGAGTTTTGTCTTACAGAATCTGTTTGTTTATTTTTAATTAATTTTCATGAACAATAATTGGGAGTCCCTCCCTCCTCCATCTTTACAATATTGGAAATATAAATATTGCTTTAAATTTTGCAACATTTGATTCAGACCCTACAGCAGTGTGATAAAAAGATATTACCATTGTATAATGCTAAGACTATTTTTACCAGTAGATGTATACAAAGGGAATATTTGTATTATCTTTTTGTTGAAGTTTATTTTGCCTTGCATATTATATTGTATCTTCTATATATTTCACAGGAGGTCAGATTGGCAAAGTGAAATTAAATCTGAAGGATGCAATTTGTATAGCAAGTAGTGCAAGTAATTATGCCGTAAATCTGTGTTTTCCTAGACTGCTGGTAGCTCATTACGTAGTGTAAAAAATCATCCCTTCAAGAATGTTTTGGTGTTGCCAGTAAAATGCAAGAGTCACTGTAAATTCAGGACAAGATTTATATACTGATCAAATGCAAATTGTGTCCAACATATACTTTAGCATACGGTCTACCCTGAGACCAATTCATTTCACATCTCCCCTCTCCATGCACTTTTGATATTAGCAGGAGGGTGTTCATGTGTGGCTGTGACTAATTGGTACACTTTCTCTGCCAACAGCTGGAGGCGTTGGGAAGAGTGCACTTACTATTCAACTTATTCAAAATCAGTAAGTATGATTCCGAGAGACTTGTCTTCCTGTATGCTCTTTATGGGAAGAGCTTGTAATGTGTATAATATATCTGTTGTTACTGCCTCTAGTTCCAGGGTTCCCTATTTATTCTGTCTGAGTTAGATTTCAGAAATGATTTTGTAATTTGTTTTCTTGTGATATATGTTCTTTTATTTTTAAGAGAAAGTTCGTGTTTATGATCATTTCATACCTACAGATAGATATAGAATTAATCCAACTTTTGAACTTATTATCCATATATACTGATTTAGTTTATTTCCTACAGCTTTGTCGATGAATATGATCCAACCATAGAAGATTCATACCGTAAACAGGTCGTCATTGATGGGGAGACGTGTCTACTGGATATTCTCGACACAGCCGGGCAAGAAGAATACAGGTACAGTACCTCTTTGTTATTCAGATATAGGTAGTTGCACTATTGTCAGTGTATGGTCTGTAGATTATAAAAGTTAATTACACATCTTTCGGACAGGAAATGTCAGACTATATGATATTTTGTGATAAGAATATTGTGTGTGTGTGAGTGAATATCTCTCCACTTGCTTATACATGTCAGATCATATATAGATGTGCATTTGTATGTACAGTGTGTCAGTGTAGATATAGCCATGTAAAGGTATTACATGCTTTATAATTAAATTATAAATTAAAGTTCTTTCTCTATGACCATGAAGAAGAAATCTTGTTACTTTTGTTTTGAACTATGCTCATCAGAATACAGTAGAAGGACTTCTGCATGTTAACATGACCTGAAAGCTGAATAAAGGGTGGATATGGACATGTAAGGGGAAAAGCCAGCATTTATAGGGCAAAGGTAGAGTATGTTAAAGTATGAGGAAGAGGGAATTCTGTTAAGGAAGATAGGCCTACATGGGTAAGTGCAAGAATCTTGTCTACTTCAGACTTTGTGTGTATTTAGCAACTTGCCAAAGGTATAGATTTCAGCTGTAGATGATCAGTGGATCATTAGGCCCCAAACAATTGCACATTCACAACTCAGATGACCTTTTGATGTGTAACTGCTTCAGTCCAGGAGGTTCATTACTGGTGTGAGGTCAGGCTTTCAGATTGTATGTAAACCATAGTGCAAACAAATTAAGGATGACATTAATTTTTCATAGCAAATATGGTAATACAGAACCAATGAAATTCCTTTAGTTGTTAGAAGTGTGACTTTTTCTTGGCACTTTATATTGCCAAGAGAATATGTCGTCTGTTAGCAAAATGAACACTGCAGTTTCTCAAGCAGCTAAACAAACAGTTCTGTCGATATTCCCTATCTAGTGTGTATTACAAGTGCAGTTATTCTTCTACTGTTAACCCATTAACACGGGTATATTTTGAAGCCAAAAATAAAAGATTCCGGGCGGCTACAAAATCGGCGGGCGGAGCTTCCCCGGAGTCTGTCCGCCCGCCAGCCGTGGACCGCCATTGTGTCACACTGGCGGTACACCCGGCAATGTTTATTTTTTCGGGTGTCTCATATGTGGGACACCCGTTGTTTTTGGGTTAATACAAAATTTCTTCCATCTAGTTACCTGTTGCTTGTTTAATAATTCTCAGTGCAAACCTGCCTTATAAATAAAGTCATCTTCTAGTGAGAGTCAACGAGGAAAAGAAATTGAATCTGAAGTTGAAAGTAGCACCAAAATCGAAAAAGGGAATTTTAAAATATACTTCTATTTTGACGGTTAATTGAGTTTGTCCAGAGTTTTGCACATGACAAGAAAAGGCCAAGAATTTACCCAAACTTTTGTGTGACAAGTAAACATTCCTTTTGGAGAAACATATTTCATTGTCAGAGTGAAATATATTTAAGATTTAGAAAAAGATCTGGTTTTATATTCAAAGCTCGAAGCATTATATGAACAATGAAAAATGAGTAGTGAATACAAGGATCTCCAATGAGAGACCCACTGCTGCGTCGGAGCACAGCCCCTGTACAGCATCACACTAGCGGGACGCCCGGCCGTGTTTATTTTTTTCGGGTATCTCATATATGGGACACCCGTTGCTAATGGGTTAATATTTCTGCAAAACTTGTTTCTCATTAAGCCAGTGCTGCTGGGGATGGTATGTACATACATGCCATACCCACTTTAGGTTGGTTTATCAATTGTCTTTACATAAAGATGGCTCCATAAGTACTAAATCACCAATTAGCCAACGAGGACTACCTATCTGTTTACCCTTTACCTTGATTTTCAGAAATATTTCTTGGTATTTTGAATTGCTGTTAATAATGTCACACAATATAAAGATTATAATGTCAATAATGATAACATCAGTATCAGTATTGATAGCATTAGTTTTTCCTGCAAGGAAAGGTAAAATCAGGTGAGGTCACAAGGTGTATTAATTGACTCCTCTGTAGCATTATGTGCAGTGACATTTTAAGAAAATAATACTACAGTGAACAGTACATTATCTCAGCAATCTTTTATTTCATCGTTTATTTTGTGTTGATCATAATAGATTAGAATTCAGTACTGTATTTTGAGCTTGGTCATTCATCAAACAAACATACCATTTATTCTTCTAATTTTTAACATTTCTTTTCAGTGCAATGCGAGACCAGTATATGCGAACTGGGGAAGGGTTCCTACTTGTTTTTGCTGTCAACAATGCAAAGTCTTTTGAGGATATAAGTGCATATCGGGAACAGATAAAACGAGTAAAGGACGCAGATGTGGTACCTATGGTTTGTAAGTATACAGCTCCTTTTCAGTATGCAAGTTCATGTGCAGGATTCATTCTGCACTAATTGTAAATTGAACAACAAAGGAAAGGACAAGAAAACACTTGAGTATGCACTGAGGAAGCAGTGTAGTGGAAAGACCTTCGGCATATATGTGAATTTTCTTGTTCTTCCCTACATTGTTTTATTTCCTACTTCACATAAACAAAGTAATAAAGGAAAGAGCAGGTAAACTTATAATTATACGGAAGGCTTGTACAGTCAGAAAAAAAAACTATCGTTACCCTTTACACAAACTAATATGAAAAAGCAGTGAAGTGTTGTGAAATAGAGAGGCAAGCTAGTTGGCACTGAAATCCTATAAATGTAGGTTTTGCGATACTCTAGCATTATTATGTGTCATTAAAAAAAATTTGTAAAACCCAAGTTTCAAAGTAATAAGGGATAATGTTATAAAAATAAGTAATGATAATGATAATGATATTAAAAGATAGTAAACAAAAATGTGAAGAGTGGCGCAATTAAGAACCAGGTGGTGGTGCTGACTAAGGATAAATTTTCCTTGAAGTTTATATTTCCTGCAGTTGTTTGGAGCTAAGGAAGAGATGGACTCTTCTGTAGCACAAGAGAACTATCTAATCGTTCATTTCCTTAAATGTCGACACATTTATGCCCTATTTTGGATATGAGCAAAAATAAGGGCTGTAGTTGCCAGTTTCTATTATTTCATGCCTATCCCTCCAGGGAAATGAGAGGCAAGTAGAATTCAGTTTCAGTCACGTTCTTTACATTGAGAAAACTTCAAAATATTTTTTTGCACAATACCTCACTGAAAATTCTTGTTTTTTGCGTATGGAAAAGTCATAATCAGGTATTCACCATTGCCTCTTTTTTTATTTATTAGATGTCACAGTATGACAAGTGAGTGGTCATATCTTCAACTTTTATTTTCCATGTTTATTTCTGTGCAGCACTCACTGATGTATAATAAAATTCAACTCTTAGTATGAATTTCTTTATTATGATATATATTTGCTCTTTAATGTTAGTGTGGTGATTAAATGGAAAATAATACAGGTGTATAATTTCAATAATTTGTATTCCCTCCCCCTGCCACTAAAAAAACCTGTTGTTATGAAGAGCAATAATAGATCCTCATAAACTGGGACGTCTCCATGGTGCTTAATGTGCATATACTATTCCCAGTCCATGTTAATTTAGAAATATTTGCCAATCCATCCAAAGCATTTATATCAGACTTTAAAACTTTACAAACCTGCTCCTGGTTTATGTATACCATGGACACCAGAGGTCATATAGTACTGTATTTTGTGTTTCATTATACCCATTTATACTGAAACCAGTTTATTCATTTGATTTATTAAATAGGTATGTGATACTATGATTTTCTTCTTCTTCTTCTTCTTCCGCCAACAAAGTCATGATAAAGAGTAAAATTATGAAAGACGCTTACTTTTTAGATGATAAAAGACAATTAAAATACTTAGACAAAACAGGGCGTGGTCATGGAAACGCATGCTTACAATACCTGGTTCATGAGTCTCATTCCTTGAATATTGTAATAAGAACATCATATGGCAACACTAGCCATGGAATGGCCTTAAAAGATGCTCCACTCACAACACAGAAAAGCACTCGTGTTAATCAACTACAGGTAGAGGTAATGAAAGTTTTTTTTTTCTAGCTGTACATTTCAGTGCTTCTTCATGCTTTGCAAAAGCAATAACTTGAATGGGCTCTTATCCTGTTCATATTGTACCATGATATTCCCTTTTCTGGTGCACATGAATTTTCTTTATCTGCTCCCGAGTTGTCTTGTAATGTTAATGATGTCAATTTAAAATAGATGGTAATGAAAGGAATACGGAATGCATATGTATGTATGTTTTTTTTCTTCTACGATCCATTATTCCCTTTAACTGATCTTATGTTTACTATATGATTATGGTGCTTATTATGTGTATGTAAGGGGTAATACTCTAATCTTTCAGAAGTGCTAGTGTTCACGTGTGTGTGTGTGTGTGTGCGCAATTAAAATCTTTCTTCATATACCTAACGACCATTACCTCTTTTTGCACAGTGGTGGGCAACAAATGCGACTTGCAGGTGCGTGCAATGGACATGCAGCAGGCACGAGAAGTGGCCAAGAATTATGACATTCCTTTCATTGAGACCTCTGCCAAGACCCGCATGGGTGTCGACGATGCCTTCTACACTTTAGTAAGAGAGATCAGGAAAGATGTAAGTTTCTTTATAAAAATTTGTTAAGCATGTCTTTTTGAGAGTAATGTACTAGATTTAGTGCTTTACAGTGCTGGTATAGTTGCAAGTTTCATAATTATATTTGTGTTCGATGCCTTTGGAATAAGTGTGTGTGTGTGTGTGTTCATGCGTGTTCTTTGGCATCAAAATATGAGCTTGTAAACTGATTGCTTCTAATATCTTTCCAGAGGGAACGTCGTGGGAAGGTTAGGATTGGAAGTAGGAACAGCAAGAGGAAGTGCATTGTGTTCTAGGAGGACTGTGTGTTGTGTAGACTAAATAAGCCTAATGGCATTAAACCTATTTGTTTCCATAACTGTCATGAAAGTTAACTTCATGCCAGTGCCATTTGACAACTAAATTCTGCCACTTTTTATTTTTGTTTATTTTTTGTTGTTTATTGTGTTAATTTTGATTCTTGTTCTGAATATTATTATTATTTTTATTATTGTTACAATTTATTTTCATTTTTTCTCAATTGTATAGCTTTATATTTATTTTTTATTTTCATGTTTTATTTTTTATTTTTGTTTAATTTTTTTCATTTATTTGTTTATCTTTTTATTATTAATTTTTGAAAGTTGGGAGGAGGAGGTACAGTTCTCGGAATGCGTCACCTGAAAGGATATCTTCGCACCAACTTCCTAGCTACCGCGAGTCCAGAAATTTCTCTCTCGACTTTGTGTGAATCAGTGGTTATGTCATTCTCACTTCAGTTTTGTGTAATTATTATACAGAACCTCAATTGCACATAACATCATCAATAGAAAAAAAAGGACTCTGAATGTTTAAAAGAAAATTTTTCATAATGATAAGCAAAAAATTAACCAAAAAATAAAAAATAAAAAACAAACAAAAAAAAGATAAGTTTAAAGAATAACCCCCAACCCCAAAATTGGCCGTCTTTGTCAGTCCAGAGTAAAACCTTGTGCATGATATGAGAAATGTTTTACAAATATTATTAAAGGAAAAAATGCAAAAAATAAAAAAATTAAGTAATAATATTTCACTAACAATGAAGGATTCTACAAGCGCAAAGAGGAGTGATTAAGCGAGTGAGCGGTACACAAAGAAGAAAGAAAGAAAGGAAAGAGAAGGAGAAAAAAAAATGGAAGGAAGGAAAGAGAGAGAAAGACAAACGGCTAACATCTGCAAGAAGCGGAAGATGGGGCTATGGCAACACTCCCAGAAATGTCCGATCTCCCAACTTTCCTTAACGTGCCCGTGTGGTAGAGTCAAAAATATTAAGTAAAGAATTAAAAAACAAAAAAAAAAACTAAAAAAAAGTCTGAAAAAAATATATATATATTAAAAGTTTTAGAAACTTAGCTTGTATGCTTTTTGTATGTTGGAATTTTCAAAATAGTGTTTCTCTTTTTATATCGATGATGAAACTGTGGTCAGGTGGACATGAGAGCAGTGGAATAGTCATTACACAAGGAAAAGAAGGAAAAACAAAAACAAGAAACTATTGAACACCAAGCTTAGCTGGGGGCAAGTAGAACACAGGAGCACAAACTTTTGTATAACAAACAAACAAACAAAAAAAAGCCAATTGTGATTCAACAGGGAAGGGCATAATTACAAAACAGTTAGGGTAAGAAAACTGTAACAGTTACTATAGGTTCATTCTTAAAAAGAGAGAGAGAGAGAAAGAAAAGAATATGAATACATAGAGACAATTGTAAATATTGTTGAATTAAATTGTGAATGCACAAAGCCACTGAACCTTAAAAACATGAAAAGGAATAATCACGGGAAGACAAAAAGAAGAATAGAAAAGAAAAATAAGGCCTACTGCTCCTCAGGAGGGTGTGGACTTCAATCCAGCTTACCCCTTTTTTTTTTTTTCTTTTTTTTTTTTTTTTTTTCTTTTCTTTTTTTTCTTTTCATTGTTCTTTTTTCTTCTTTTTTATAGTTGTTGTGTCAGCTTTTCATATCACTGTCAGGGTTTGCCATTTATTATAAGCATTGGAGACAGAAGCATAGTTATGGCACAGCATGGAAGGTTTCCTTTTAAAAAAAAGTTGGCAGAATTCTTTTTAAGCTGTTATTTAGAATTTCTATTTTATTATTGCTATGAAAAGAAAAGAGAAAACTTCATCCACATGGTTAACTAAGGTAATCCAGGTTTAATGTAGTTGCCCAAAATAGTGGCCTCATCTTTTTGACTTTTTGTCTTATTTTTTACATATTAATTATTTTTTTAATTATAATTTTTTTTTTTCCTATTTTATATGCTTGATCTGGGTTGCCTTTGTTTGCGGACAATTGTAGCTGCAGTGTGTGCCTAACCTGGTTTGCCATTTGTATGGTTGACTGGACTGTCAGTATTAATATTGATATTGACTCTAGATGGAAGAAGTCTTGTATTAACAGTAAGTGTCAACATGAATATGGCTGGTGCAACTACCTGGAACAAATCTTTTGTTTGGATTCTGATATCAAGGATAGATAGATATGTTATTGTATATGTCCATTAAGTTTTATTTTCACATTTTTTTATCAATTATTTTTCCATGTTCAAATACTAACATGAAAAATCAAGGATTTTTCATATGATCTAGTGTATATGTCAATAAAATTGGCTGGCTGTAGTTTTTCAACAAATCACCCATGGAAGTGTCATACAGGTTGTATTATTAACGTGCAGTTTCCCTCATGCACTCCGGCTTTCGATATAACCAACATTTACCACCCACAAAGAAGCAACTGACGACTTTTGGAGGAAACAGAAGGCTGTCAAAGCATTTGTTGTCTAAGATGTAACACTAACAATTCGAGAACAAATTTTAAAATTTGGGGTTTCTATGAGTAATTTAACTTTAGGCTCAATAACTACTTAAATGGTGTCTGAAAAAAATATATATCTATAATACCTCTTTCATTTCTGTCCTATTCCATTATTTTTGTTTGTATTTTCAGCTCGGCATTTTTTGCCTCTCAAAAACAGAAGTTCCTTTACCTCAGACTGCTCGAGATTTTGTGATGATGGATTACTGTTCACATGACAGATGCTGTACATTTTATGCAGAAAAGAGGAGAAAGAATAAATAAATTGCATCTTTACGTACTGATTATTGTGGATTTATAGAAATCTTGCATATAATCCCTCCCCCTTTTGTCTCGTATCTCTCTTCTCTTCTCTTTTCCTTTCCCCATCCTATGCCTCCCCTTTTTTCTTTTTACAATTTTTCCTTCCCCCTCCCTCATGTCTGTCCTTTTATTTTCTTTGTTGCAATAGATTTTATTATATTTATCATAGCCTAATCTGTTACTTGCTTATTGTATTTTTTTCTATCCCCCCTTTACTTAATTAGTTGGATTTGATTATCATTCTATCAGAGAGCCATTCAGTGCAGAGATATGTAAGTATGCACATCCTAGGGCAGTTGTATGAAAGATTATTCTGAAATGTTTAAAAGGTTTTGCAGTGTTGTTATTGTATGATTTTTAATGGAATTAAAGATGGTCACAAGTTCATTTTTATAATTTTTATTTTTGTGTAACAATTTTTGTCTAGTTAGTAAAAGTCATATGTGCAAGATTAACAGCTTATTAACTGCGATATCTAACCAAATGAAAATTGATCATGTACCAAATTTTCCTAATTGACACCCCTTGGAAAGGATTTGTGGGAGTTATGAATGTACGATGTTCATTACTATTTCAACAGCATGTTTAATTTCAGAGCAGTATGCTTCTGATCATTCACTGGAAGTAATGATGGCTGATCTTTATGCTTTACCAACCAGGAAAATCATTACCTAAACAGAAGTTTGGTGTTCAGGATGAGAAACAGCCTCTTTTAACAATTGGTGCAAAAGTGCTGATTGTGTGTTCAATCCAATTGGAGCTAGTGTAATGAGGCATTAGAATAATGGTTCTTCCATAATGGATAAATGAAAGTTTTCAAGTATTGATATGTCATAATTGACCCTTGAGTCTTCATAGGTAATTTCAATTCTTTAATGTAACTTGTCCTCAACCAGTTGGCTTGGTTTGATATCTGTCCTGGCATAAACAGACATCTTGCCAATCCAATGTTTAGGCCTGGTATCTAACAGTACTATCTAGATAAACTGATGTCTGTATCAGTTGATTTATTTTGAATGAGTCTTTGTTAACCCATTGGTTGAGCAGGCATCCTTATCAACCCAATTGTATGCCATGGCCCCCTTTTCTTTTTTTTCTTTTTTTTTCTTTTCTTTTTTTTTTCTTTTTTTTTTTTTTTTTTTTTTTTTTTTTTTTCTTTTTTGTCATGTTGGCTTGGCTGGGACTCTAGTCATTCCATATGTGGTCTTGGTTTGACAAGGGTTACACCTGCTCCCCTTTGCGTATAGGAAAGATTACTGATATCTATGTGTTCATTATGTTAAGTCATTACATTTTGTCACTGATTTGTGGTTATTAAGGAACTGTGATTGTTCAAAGGAAGCGTTTTCTTACCTACTACACTAATGATTTAATAAATTTATGTTAATAGATTAAAGGAGTGCAGTGGGTATCATAGTATGGGATACTACCTGTCATGAAATTTCATACTCTTAATAAACCTGACTAAAGGAAAGCAGCACTAGTTAGTGATACATTATCCATAATTTTTGTATTATTTATTTTTCTTTTGAGAGTAGGCCCGCATGTATATTTTCTTAAAATGAACAAAAACATTGAGCTTGATGGTCTGTGCTAAAATATTTCTGTTCATTACACCATATAACATTTATTAGACAATCATAAGATGATGAAAAAAAAACATAACCCATGTATTTATGAATAGCAGATTGCTGATTTGAAGATTAATTTGCCTTTCCACATATGGTGACAAGAAGAAATCAAATAAGAAAGTTGCAGATACCACCATGTTTCAGGTGATGCTTCATTATGCAGGCAGCCAAAGTATCTCAGGAGTTCTAAGACTGGATCCACAATCAGAAAATATTTCAGACTTGCAAATTTTGTTTCAACACTCATGCAAGCGGAATCTCATGAAAATAACCCAAAAATTCTGTGTACAGAGATGTCAGGTGCAAGACATACAGATTTGTTGAAGTTAATATTCCATGTTACTTCATGTGGCTTTTGCAGTAACTTGTTCTTGGTTCTGATTTATTTTTTATTTTTGTTGATTTTCATTTATAATAAAATTATTAAATGAAATCATCTTTGGCCTTATTGAATTTCAAGTGTTTAAGAAAAGCATTGCATAATGCCAGCTTGAAAAGAAGAAAAAAATTATTGCATTTCAGATGGTGGCACCTATTCATGGCAAGGATGTGCAGTACACTTTATTTGCACATTTTAGGTAATACTATTTTCAGTTTCTTTATCATCCTCTCCCTACCTCCCCTCTATCTCACTCTCTCTCTCACCCTCTTTATAAATACTTTGTACATCTTGTCTCTACTTGCAGTTTCCGTTTCCTCAGCTTCTGCCTAGCAGCTGTCATGAAATATCTTGGGAAAAGTGAATGTGATTCTCCTTTCATTAAATTTAATGAATTTTTGTCTTGTGAGAAATGCATGATGTAACTGAATTTTTGTCTGTCATTATTTCAAGAGTTTAATGTAGTTACTTGTAAAGAGTCAACTGATGAATAGAATTTGAAGCAATGGATGGAAAAAGCACACCCAACACAATAATTTTCCAGACTGGAAAAACCCATGATAATTCTTTTATGAAACTATTTTATCTTCATATACCTTATGGATTCATGCGAAAATTAGTTTGATGACCAAAGTTCATGTGGATCATTAATTAATGCCTTTTAAGCTCTGCAGTTCTAGCATGAATTTTATCTAAGCAAATGGCAGTATTCCATAATGAATAAGCAATTTAAATGTATTTGCTTTCTCCATAACTTCTCCTAAAGTAATACAGAATAAAGAGAACAGTGTGTGCAGTGAACTCTGACAAAAAATAGATTATTCAGTGCTATGTGACCCATTAACATCTTGATGCCATAATTTGAATGCCTATTGGTGTGGAGGTGAAAGCATAAAAAAACACAATTAATCCTTATTTGTAACAATAGCATTTTCTTGGCAAATAAAGGATATTGGCATGAGATCTTTGAAATGGTTGACATTTAATTTTCTTCAGACTAGGAAAACGGACATGTACCATCTAGGCCTTGACAGTTTGTCCACAAGTATGTGAATACAATTCTAATTAGTAAGCAAAGAATGCCTATGAATCAAACACTAATGAAAACATGGTTGATCAGAGTATTTAGAAAAGTGAGTGGATTGACATTCACTCCTACTTACTTCACACTCAGTATAGCAAATGCAGCCAAGTTGTCGACTCGAAGAGGGATGGGTAGACTTGCCATATTACGTGGCTTCTGCAGTGTGGATGTTTTCGTTGTATATTATTTTTTATTAATATTATTTTGTTTGTTGTTGCACAGTGCAGTAAGAAAATGGGGAGTGGATGTGTGGATACCCTAAGGGATGACCTCATTCAGGCACTTTTATATTCTTTTACAGAAGCGGTGGCAAATATGTTAATACTCAGTGGATAATTTTGGAAAAAAAAAAATGTATGTTTCATAGATTGTCCTGTTGTTTACTGGGTTGACTAGAAATAGTTGTGTAATGAAGAAAAAATATGAATAGTATTAGTTTTTATTTGCTTGTTAAAAGTGGTGTATGAGCATTCCACGTGGCAATGTATGTGAAGATTAATGGCGAAAGAAGTGTATCAGGCTTTTACTCAAGAAATTACATATTGCTATATTTAGTATTTTTCTCCTTTGGAAAAATTTTCGTTGTCACATTTCTAAACTTCCCTGTCAACTTTCATAAACTTAGAAACATTTGTCATGATTATTTCTTTAATTTTGATACCTTGACAAAGTCAGTGCTTTGAATAAAATGTCTAAACAAAATACATATTTTATATTGATGTGATCTAACAGTGGGAGATTCCTTCTGTTTATTGTAAAAAAAAAAGGGGAAATTCTTCGTTTGTAATCAACCCTTCAAAATAATATGCATATTAGTAGCCCTGGAAATTTGCCAGGTTTTATTCTTGTGCAGGGCGTACTTCAGTGTCATTGATCTTTGAGACACAATGCCAGTGTCACGTCCAGCTTTATGGTGATTTTACATTGTCAACTTGAGAAAGGTAGTAACACATACTAATTCACTGTTAGTCTTTACATATATATGATATGATATGGTAGCCTTTACAAATGTTTTAGTACTTTATCAAGGCACTTTTGTTTTAGTTATCCTTCCAAGAAGGTTAACAAATCCCTTGTAATTTGTTTGTCTTCGGAACAATTCACTGATATATTTTCCTTTATACAGCTACCTGAAGTACCTCTTTTTATCATTATTAAAATGAATTTGACATTCAAATTCAGGCATCTCATTGCTATATGTTTTCAATACATATAGTTTATCTAAATACCCTTCCCAGGCTTAAGTCAAATTCAGATTAAACAATCGGAACATCAAAAAAGTAAGACGAGTTTAAATACAAAAATATTTTGAAAACTCAAAACCCAACTTGATCAGCTTTCATCCTTTTTCATTCCTGTGCACCTGCTTCCTTTGCCCAGGACTATGGTTTTGAAAAGAAGTCTTCATACACTTCTTTATTTTCCTTCATTATAATTCATACTGTAAATAAGGTTATGATTAAAAAATAGTACCACTAGTATAAAAAAAATATATATTTTTTTTTTAATCCAATAATGATAATAACAAAAAAATAGTCTTTATGGGCTGATATCAGATAGCCTAATAATTGCCACCTTGGTAAGTAAATGCTTGTAAAAGACATCGCTTACTCCATTACAACGCTTTTTTTCATGGCGGGGACTGAGGGCACAGGGTTATGCTTTGGGTGGATTCATATTCAAATCAATCTGTGGCAAAAATTAACTAGCATGAAAAAAATCATAAAGCACAAAATTTTATACAGAATAGTAAAGTCATACCATAATGTACATATAATTTGTATATAGTAGTAATGGGGAATATCTTTCAAAATTTAAAATCTGAAAGAACTGCTGTTTTGGGCATTGCTTATGAGGTGTCTCTATTTTTCTCTTTTTCATGCAAGCGCTAGCTATAATGTACTTTAAAGATAATCTAAGCTAGTATGTTATATTAGCTGCAATTTTGTATTATGAAGAAACTTTATGCAGTCTTTAATGGTGTGAGAAAAATCAATAAAATTAAATATACTACATTGATAAAAATTCTCAGGAATGGGGTGGAGCCAAACATTTGGGAATAGTATATCAAATTAGGGGTCGTAAAAAGAATCTAGCAACAGGTTTTACCGGTCTCTAGACAACTGTAGGCCATCAGAAATGAAGGCTAAAGTTGTCTCTGCCAAAACAAAATACTGCGGGCAATATATGTACCGCAACTAGTAATGTACCTCCATGAAGCCAATGCTAAAAGGATAAAAATAGCCTTCAGTATTATCAGTATTTTTAATTTTTTTTTATTAAATTTCCTTTCATCAAAAATTATACATTATGGAAATTACAAAGCACAGGTGTGTTATTCCTTCTTGGGTCAAAAAAGTAACATGAGAAGATCCAGTCTTGTTATGACCAATCAGAGGTAGACTCATCTTGTACAAAATAACCATTTTGATTTTGTTTCAATGTTTCTAATTTCAAAAGATTCCAATCACATATTTTTTTTATTTTGGTGGGGGAATGAACATTACATTAACGAAAAGCTCTACTTCCTTCGAGAATCCTAATTTTCCTTGCATAATGCTGAAACCAATAATTCTTTAGTCACTGACAAAAAATGTGTTAATGAAATTAAGGAAACACCAATTTATACTTTATTTGTCCTTAAAGAGTTGAAGTTGAAAAATTACTTTTTCATAAGATGCCTGAAAATTCTAGCATTCAAGGCTCTAGCAAAAGTAGCATATGCTAATATCTATGATGACTTACAATGACTTTTACTAACTGCTCTCTGATAGAAATCCAAACAATCAGCTGCACAACTTGTGATATCTGTTTTAAAATTATATCTCTGAGGTTGAATGGGGGAACATGGAAGTTGGTTAAAATACTCAATAATCATAACAAATTACAAAATCTAGCATGATTTTTACAATCTAAAAATAAGGGGAAAAAATAAAAAAAACACCCAATACTTGTATACAACATGTTGGATTCATAGGTTAGCTAGATAAGAAAAGGTTAACTGGTTGTGATGGCTCTCGGACGATCCACACCCACTCCTTGCTGGATCCCAATTGTTGTACCTGTGGTAAGGTTACTGAAACTACAAAATAAAAATGGTACTTCTTTCCCTACAGTCCATGGCACATATCTACAGACTAGAGCTTTAAGCTATGATCAAGAGAAACACTACAGCTGAAACAAGGAGCAATGCCCCATCTAAACTAGTGCAGTCCAGAACTCTTGCTAAATGGAATAATCTTTTGCACCATTTTGCATCAACATTCAGTACATGCCCCATAACCAGGAATTGAAATCCAAGTTTCAGTGAATATTTTCCATCAAGTAAAAAAAAAAAAAAAAAGTGACAATTTAAAACCAATATACTTGATACTTCAACCATGAATGTTTTCCTTGAACACAGCCCTGTGTTTCTGAGAACATGCCTTTAATACATAAGTGGCTAGTTACTTTTACAGGAGGTGGAGTCACCTGTTGAAAGAACTGTTTGCAAAGAGGCTTGAATTCTCACTAATAAATAGTTTCTAAAATAAATACAAAAATATTCCTTCTGTATCAAAAGAAAATACTGCACAGTGAGAGAGATTAGGTGATTTGTGAACAATTGAGAAATTATACTGGAAATGATGAAGTTGACTGCATGAGTGTTGTGTTCTGTTTTAGTGTCACATCCCAAATGATCCTGAAAATTAGAAAATAATTTTTTCTATGGTATCATTCATTTTGTGGGGAGGGGGGAATGATTATTATCCATGCATACAACAAATTAATGTATATACATTGCAAATAATATGAAAAAAATCAAATCAGGATCACTATGGGGAGAGATATTACACAGGGTAAGTGTGGTTATCAACAAAGTTATTATAACTTGCTTTGTAATCATCTGCAACTCTGTATTCAACACATATTCACAAGACTTTTTCCTTTTTAAAGTTTTACATAATACTAGTAAAAAATATAGGCCCTTGTGTATTGCCTGATTAATCAGTCAATCATTCAATCAATGTTCATTTACCCCTTTCATTTCTTTCCAAACACCGCACTAACCTAAAATCACCGAGTTTTTACCAGAGGTTCTCTGATTACTGATATGAAAATAAACAGCAGCTAAGCTCCAAAGTCATACAAAAGAAGAGCAATGGCTTAATGAACATCACCTTAAATGCATCTTTCTTTTTCTGATTATACAACCTGAGAAAATATGAGACAACATTCTATGCATTTTTCCACTTTAAGGAGTAATCACAAGTGTTAAGTTTGAGCAAAAATACTTTTTGTTTGAATCATGTAAATATCAATTTATGTGTACCTTGTGTATAGTGTTAACATCAAAATGTATAAATTTTAAGAGGCAGGCTACAGATATCACAAACACCTGAATGAATTCTCTAAATAACACTCATAGTAAATATATACTCCCATTCCTAAGTGAACACTGTGACCATTTGTTTTATTTGATAATCATAACAAGCAGAAACTAGGGTGGTGGGGGATGCAAATAAATAAAGAAAACTAATGGAGCCTTTCCCAAAGTGACGTTAGAAGACACGTGAAACAAATGTTCAGCCAAACAGAGCAGAGACTATACACTACCCACATCCCTACAGGTCACATTCCTTCCACAGCAGACCAGCTGAACCTTTCAAGAAAAAAAGTCTGTGCTAAGGTCTTTTTGTCACAACTTATAATCATTGCAGTATAATGTCCCATAGGAAATAACTATCAACTCATTCAACATCATATATACACATGGCAAACAATGATCGTCACAGAGGGATTTCTGCAACAAAACAACTTCTTACAAACTACTAACGGCATACAAGACACTGGCTTCTACACATTACTATCAACTATAAAGAGGAGCACCGCTTGATCCTTTACTGTCCTGCAGAAATATGATCCACAATCTATTTCTAAAAATAATTAGATAAAAAAAAAAAAAAAAAAAATTGAAGAAGGGGGAATGGGAGATTCCTTTCTCTCTCTTAAAAGATACAACATGAACTTGCAATGGCCAATAGAAAATGATATAGATCTTATTGTTAACTAAAAGTTCATAAAATAAACAATATTAAAAACAATAATAACAATAATGAAAAATAACACACAAAGTGTAACAGAGATATTGGATGAAGAGTTTTGTGACCTGATAACTGGAGCAACAAAACCACCTAATAATTTATTTACTTTTTTGAATTTTTATCTTATAAACCATCATCACTATATTCTTATCACCTCATTATCATAATTATTCTTATTATTGTAGTTTCCTCATCATTACTATTATAATCATCGCATCACATCTATAATCAAGATAATCATCAACACAATTATAGTAATAATAGTAATGACATTGATACTGATGATGATAATAATAATGATGATACTACTACTACTATTACTACTACTACTACTACTACTAACTACTACTACTACTACTACTAACTACTACTACTACTTACTACTACTAACTACTAATAATAATGACAATGATAATGACAATAATAATATTTATGATGATAATATTCCGCTGCTGCTGCCCATCTGTCTCCTCCCGCACCCCCCTCTACACACACTCAGAGAATGGCCTGGAAAAGCAATCAGTCTCTCAATTACATAACAAAGATATTTTGTTACAGGAATCATGTGTATATTACCTGAAAGTTTATATGCTTTTATGACATGAAACAATGTGGAAAAGTTTATGTATGGGGAAAAAAATAAAATAAAAAAAAAATAAATAAAATAAAAAATAAATCTATTATAGGAATGGACAAAGTCTTGAGTATCAGAATATGTAAGCTAAGACAATAACATAAAAACAACATTCTTTTTTTTTCCCTATTCTTTTTTTCTAATCATTTTCTATTAGAGAATCATTAATAGTAAGTATAAGAAATGAACGTTACACAGAGGTATGAAAGATCTTACAAAGATGATGAAAGGTAATAATTTTCTTTACAAAATGATAAATTTCTTGCAAACATCATCTCACAGAATTATCACTTCTTGGGAAAGGTATGAGGTTTCTAAAAACAAGATATGAAAACAAAATACTAATAAAAAGAAATACAAAAATAAAAATAAAAAGGTTTCAAGAACAAACCCCCAAATCAAGAGTGAGAGGCCTTTCGTCTCGTAATCTGCCCGAGATAAGGAGTTAATGATTCCCAACCTCATACAGCTCCTCACACTTCTGCAACAGCTTCAGCACAGGGCTTATATTATATGGAAAGAGGTTCTTGGACACCAGCCGATCAATGGCGAAACGGAGACGGATTAAGACTGTCATGACCTCCTCTAGGCGGTGGCCACAGTGGGAGGCAAACTCCTGCCAACTGCGACGGATGAATTTGAGGTAGCGTAGCAGGTAGAGGAGGAAGGAAGTCTCATTGGATACCAGGAGATCCAGAAGCACATCATGTTCCAAGTAAATGGTCTCAAGGAAAACCAGGAAGGTGGTGTGTGGGTTGACGCAGGCATGGAGTTCAGGTTGTTGCCTGGAAGAGAAGTGCCAAATTATCAAATCAAATCAAGGTAAAACATACAAGTGGAAAAACAAACACAATAAAGGGACATGAATTATTAAAAGATATTATGTTTCATCTATAAAAATAAGCAGTATAAAACATAATGATAATCAGATTTAGTAACATTAAAAAAAAAAAAAAAAAAAAAAAAAAAAAAAAAAAAATATATATATATATATATATATATATATATATATATATATATATATATATATATATATATATATATATATATATATATATGTATGTATGTATGTATGTATAAGATACTGATTTAATTTATAGTTCTGTTCCATTACAGATTGACAAATTACAACCTCACCTCAAAATGCCTGATTCATTTCATTATATTTTGTAAATTTCAAATGCTAATTCTCCTCTTTAATTAAGTGACATTTTCCTACTTTTCCCAGTTAACTTTCAGATAATATAACAAATCAATCAATTTTGAACAATAAAACGATACTTTTGTTTATAGCATATTTTAAACCACAATCTTGATCATCTTCATACATATATGTAGCAAATCAAAATCATAAAAACTCTCAAATCCTACAATTGAAAATATCTGTTTTCCCCACTCATAAAAAAAACTTTATTCTTTTCTTTAATGGATGCAGAATAGCCAAAATCTAAAAGTTGTTCACAATATGGTACATCATATACTGTTCCCTCTCCTTGGAAGGAATAATACATGCAGAATGAACATGACAGAAATGGACTTGTAAATGGCTCTAAAAGTAACCTCACAATATACTATAAATATATCACAAACAATATAGTTATATAGAGCAGATACAAGATTACTATATTAAGCATATTTTAAATTAGATTTGCCATTTATTTATCCTTTATGTTGAAAAGCAAGTCTATTTTAACTTAATGATTTACACCTCCATATATCTTGAAACGTAAATTTTGTATATGTAATCTAAATCATGAACAAGCATATGAACAGAAAATAAATCTGCTAATAAAATGTCTGAAGGACTCTTAACCTACAGTCGCCAAGAAAATGTTGTTCAATGTTTAATTGTTTTCTGAAAGGTCTATGCACATAGGTGATTCTGCATGTACTTAACCTCAAAGGAGTCAATTAGTAAACCTTTTGAGTTCATCTGTTTTCACCTTTCCTTAAGTTTGCAGAATATTTTTTTTTTTTAACCAACGCTATCAATATTAACTTTTTCACTACAAATTATAATCATTTTATTGTCATTGACATTACTAACAGCAATAGAAGAAAAGAGTAAACTGGTAAGACATGGTATTCAGAACTGGCTCATTTATGGCTTAGGACTCATTGTGTCATCTATAAAAACAATTAATAAATTAAACTCACAGTGGATATCCCCAGTAGTTTCATGTCAGTGAACTAATTTAAAGGCAAATTTATCATTCAAACATGCAGTTAAGTTTATAAAGTGCGTATCTTATAATGAAAATGATACTGCCAAACTCAAACTCTAATATTTACCTTATACGTATTCCTAATCCAGTGAAAATGTCAAGGCCACAGACCATGGACTCCACCAACCAGTCGTCCTGATCAGCAAAGAGTCGCACCATCCACTCAGCCATTGGAGCCTCTGGGTGGTAGGGCAACTTCGATTTGACAAAGTGGTCCACCTTGCGCACCACTTCTCTTAAGCTGCGTTCTATAATTGCCATATCCACATCCTCAGAACCTGATCCTCCAGACCGGGAAGAATTCTCGGAAGAAGAGTCACAGCGTGTCTCCTTCACTGTTACTGCTATGGCCTTCAGAACGACCAACACCACTTTGTGTAATATCGTACGGTCCCCTTGGTCCATTCCATTCACTGTTCCTGAACTGGGCCCAGCTCCAATGTCCATGGAAGAGCTCTGACTTGGTTGTGATCTGTTTCCCGCTGACCCCCCACAAGGCACACACTCCAAAAACCGCCGATCTTTCACTGCACGAATAAGGAGGTGGGCCAAGTTACAGGGCTCCTCTGCTAATACGTCCTGGAGGGCCAGCGTACTCCCATAACACAAGACCTCATTGTAAAGATCAAGCACTTTCCGCCACACAATGGTATGCGTGTGTCGCGTGAGTGGAGTCATCAGGCGTTCCAATCCTGAGTAAAATTCTTTAGTATCTGTCACTGATAAATTTGCTTTCACTGATATTAATGACTCCCACAATGTTAAAAATGATACAATAACATGTTCTCTCTCCACAGTAAACTCATTAACTAATTCTGTCAACCTGGCTACCAGGAGAAACCACTTGCGATCTAACTTCTTAGTTGCTACATATTTCACCTCATTCACTCCCTGGGTATCAGCAGGAGTTAAAGTTATTTTTGAACAATCTGGTGGCTGACCACTCTCTGCTTCAGTCCCTTCAAGGGGATGCTCATCTAGATCCTTCCACTCAATTACCCTTCTCACTACCTCAATGGAATGGCCTACTTCAATTAAGTTGGTTGAATCTGCAAGATTTTCTACAAGCTTTTCTAAAACAAGTTCACTGGCACGGCCTCGAAGCATCAGCAGAAGTGAGGAGAGAGCACGTGAGGCTGAGTAACTGATGTACTTGTCCTCTGAGGCCATGAAACCAAAGAGGATGTCCAGCACAGCCCCTTCATTGTCTGCACCTGCTGCAACAACCTCACTGATGCGGGAGCACAGCACACCTCTGCTCTGCTGTCTGAGCGACACTTCAAAAAACAAGGTGAGCATGCTGATATAGAGGAGAGTCTCATCACGCAGCCGCAACATGTGGGCTACAGGATGAGAGGAAAAGCAGTCATTGCAGACAGCTAATGTATGCAGGATGTCTGGTAGCTGCAAGGAGCAGAGACATTTACGAATGAGCTGTGCGTGGATGATTTCTAAGTCTGGCCGTGGCAGCAGCTGCCCCCCACCGTCATCTCCCGAGGGGGGCAACTTCACCCTTTTCTGTTGTGGCTCGACCATCTTCACATGGCCAACAATCACTTTACGCCTGCATGATTTCTATACCTATCTTGAGTTCTTGGAAGCACAAGTTCTGCGAACTCTTGTGAGCAACCAACCTCCATAGCACCTTCTTGCAAACAAGTTGCCTCTTGGGTAAGCCAGGAAGGTCTGATTCCAGCCTTCCCTCTGTGTCACCAACCAGGTCATGTGGCCAGCTGAGAATCAAGAGGCTAACCTTCTGGATACAAAGTGGTTCTCTTTAATCTTCATTGTCTTCCTTCTCTTATTTGCACCATACTCTTCGGTCAGGCAAAACTGCAATGTTCAAATCAATTGTATAAATACAAAAACAGTTCTAAACTTGAGGAATACTACAGATTGTGACACATTTCCACAGTAATATGAATTTCAAGAAAAAAACATCAATTACAAAATTTGGAAGTGAATTCCCATAGTATAAAGATTTTTTTACATTAAATATCAGTGTCAAAAGAATTACTTTCAAGGGTATCTGTACTTACCAAACATTAGACTGGGCTGTGACTTGTTTCAGCAGGGTAATAGTGTTGTGGTCTTCCTTGTTGTACCTGGGGCATAAAAGTATAAACAATGTCATGTCATCATCATATTACTTACACTCATAACGATGATGATCATTGATGATTGATGATTGATGATGATCATTGATGATTGATGATTGATGATTATTATTGATGATGATGATGATGATGATGATCATTGATGATGATGATCATCATCATTGATGATGATCATCATCATCATTGATGATGATGATGATCATTATTGATGATGATGATGATGATGATGATGATGATGATGATGATGATGATGATGATGATGATGATGATGATGATGATGATGATGATGATGATGATGATGATCAAAACAAAAATCATTACAAAAATGAAGATAAAAATA